GCCCCATAGGATTTCCAAGGCTGTCATCTTTATGGAAGCAGACTGTCACATCCTTCTCCCATGGAGCAGCTGGAGGGTTTGAACTGCTGACCTTCTGGTTAGCAACCAAGCACTGAACCAATGTGCCACTAGGGTTCCTTTCTGTAAAGATGAAAAAGAAAAGAAAAAAAAACAACAAAGATTACAGCCTTAGAAACCCTATGGAGCAGTTCTACTCTGTCCTATAGGGTCGCTATGAGTCAGCTCAATGGCAACAGGTTTGGTCTGGTTTGGTTTACAATAAAAGTGTTAAGATAAAAGTACAGAAAAAGGGCTCTCAAGGGGTATGGGTGACATTTAAGCTGTGACTGAGGGACAAAAAGGAAGGTAAAAGGAGGAGGCGGAGAGGCCAGGAAATGTATTTCATATAGCAGGACCAGCATGAGCAAAGGCCCAGAGGCTAGAGAGAACTGATAAATTCAAGGAGTTGTTAAAAGGCTGAATCCAGATGAGAAATAAGGAGTCTACCCAGAGGTCTTTGGCACTCAAAATATGGTTGTAAGGAGGTGAAGGGATTGGATTCAAAGATAAATACATGAATAAGGCGCATTATGAGAAAAAAAATTTTTATACAACAAAAGATAAAGGGGGATAGTCAGCTCAAATTCCATCAGCCTTTACCCTGCAATTCATTCATTTACTAAGTGTGACCTGATTCCAGAAAGTCTGAGGACTTCTATCAAAATGCAAAGATAGAGATAGGTGGAGATAACTCATTTCAGCATGCACACTCACTGCAGCACAAATTAAGATAAAGCACATTATCCTGGGACGTGTGGCTCTTAAAAGTTAATGGAGGGGAGCAGAGACTGGCAGATACTGTTTGACTCTAAAAATCACAACTACAAAAACCAGGGAAAGCCTTAAGTCCTGAGCCCTCTATTTCCCTGAAATCTGGTTAGACACCAGGCAGGTGCCTAACCTGATAGCAGGGTGGAGAGTCATTTACAGAAGAAAAAAGATGGGTCTTGAGGGCATGTTAAATAGACAGAACATGACTCAGAAGGAGGGGAAGAGTGAGTCTTACACACAGAGCAAAGGAAAGCCAATCAAGTCATGAGCACACCTCTGCCCCAAGGCTGCATGTGGGCCTTCTGCCTGGTTAAAGAGGGAGACGGGAGCTGCGCCAGGGCCTTCCTCAGACAACACAAGCTTCAGTACAAGCACATTTGTTTTCCACTTTCCTCCCCTAAAATTGGGGGGAAGGAGCTGTTTAAAATGCTGCCTTTTTTTTTTTTTTCTGTGTAGTTTGCTACTTGCTATTTTTAAAAGAAAGATGACATTGAGATTGTCTACGAATTTAACATTAAGGTTATTTCAACTGCTCATGTCGGTGATCAAAGTGAGAAATGAGTCTTGTATTTCTACATTAACACACACACAACCCTTTAAGGCATGTTTACAGTGGAGCCTAATGACAGTCTGTTACTCAACCTAGGACCAAGGTCCTCAAAAGGGCAGTCGGCAAGTTGAATTATGAAGAGTGGGCCCAGATTTGGCTAACCTGGCCCAGAGGGCTCACTCACCACAGTCCCTGCACCAGTTTTTATTTCTGAGACGAAGGAGAGTGCTGTGGCTAAGAGCTCAGGAGCTCAGCTCCTAAAAACTTTGAAAAGTAACCCAAAAGAATTTTATTACAAGGAAATAAGAGTATATATTTAACCATGACAAACATGACCCAGGATAGGGTCAAAAAAACATGCTACAAATTGCCACTTGGCATATTAAAAACACCTATTAAAAAAAAATAATAATAAGGCTCAAATGCCAAAGTAAGATTGCCTGGGTTCAAATCCTAGCTGTTACTTACTAGCTGGGTAACCTTGAGCAAATTTTTAAATTCCTGTGCACCTCCATTTCCCCATCTGTAAAATGGGTATAATAACATTATCTACTTCATCGAGTTGTTACAAAAAGTAAACCAGTTAATACATGTAAAGCACAACAGTGCCAGGCAATTAAAATGTGCTCAACAAGCACTAAATCAGTTGCCTTTGAGTCTGAGCCAATTCCAACTCACGGTGTCCCCATATATTTCAAAGCAGAACTGCACTCCATAGTGTTTTCAATGGCTGTGATCTTTCAGAAGTACATTGTCAGGCCTTTCTTCCAAGGCACCTCTGGGTGTATTCAAACTGCCAAACTTTCCGTTAGTAACTGAGCGTTTGGCCGTTTGTGCCTTCCCAGTAAGCACCGTTGCTGTTGTTGTTATGAGATGTCGAGTCTGTTTCGACTCATAGTGACCCTAAGCATAACAGAATGAAACACTGCCCGGTCCTGTATCATCTTCGCAATCGTTGCTACGTTTTAGCCCATCTTGCAGGCACTGTGTCAATCCATCTCCTTGAGGGTCTTCTTTTTCACTGACCCTCTACTTTACTAAGCATGATATCCTTCTTCAGGGACTGATCCCTCCAGATAACATGTCCAAAGTATGTGATGCGAAGTCTCGCCATCCTCGCTTCCAAGAAGCATTCCGGCTGTACTTCTTTCAAGACAGATTTGTTTGTTCTTCTGGCAGTCCATGGTGTATTCAATATTCTTCATCAACACCATAACTCAAAGGCGTCAATTCTTCGGTTTTCCTTATTCATTGTCCAGCTTTCGCATGCATATGAGTCAACTGAAAGCATTAGCTATTATTATTATTGCTCAGCTTCAAAGAAGATAATTCTGCAACCTCACAGCTTCACACAAGAAATCGCTGCATTTTAACATAACTTTAAACAGCTTAGGAGGCCTGGTGGTGCAGCTGTTAAACCGCTCGGCTGCTAACCAAAACATCGGCAGTTAAAACCCACCAGCGGCTCCGTGGGAGAAAGATGTGGCAGTCTGCTTCCGTAAAGATTTACAGCCTTGGAAATCCTATGTGGCAGTTCTACTCTGTCCTATAGGGTCACTAGAAATCGAAATTGACTCGAGGCGGTGGGTTTTGGTTAAATAGTTTAATGAGGATGTTCCCACTAAAATGCAAAAAAGCTGTGCCTCATCTCTACTTATACATCAGGCTAGGAGTCCTTGGGTGGTACAAACGGTGAAGTACTAAACTACTAACCAAAAGGTTGGCAGTTTGAACCCACCCAGAGGTGACTTGGAAGACAGGCCTGGTGATCTGCTTCCAAAAGGTCACAGCCTTGAAAACTCTATGTAGCAGTTCTACTCTGCACACATGGAGGTGCCATGAGTAGGAATCTACTCATCAGCAACTAACATGAAGTTAACAGCCCAAACCAGTACCATGTCCTCCATAAACACAAGGTCCAACCATGAAGCAGAAATCAGTGCTTGAGATCTGACTAGCAAAACAACAACTAATACTGATTGAGTGTCAGACACTGTGCTAAGCACTTTAATGTATTAATTTATTTAACCCTCACAAAAAGCCTATGAGATAGATACTCATCATCCCCACTTGACAGGTAAGAAAGTTGAGTCAGAGTGCACAAGCCAACTTCTAAGGGTAGCAGAGCTACAAATAGCAAAGCCAGGATTTGAACTAGGCAGCCTGGCTCCAGAGTCAGTGCTACTAACTACTATGTGCCCTCACCACACTGTCCTTGCTGGCTGCAGTTTCCAAGGGGATATCCACTGAAAGAGAAGATTCCCAATCTTCTACAAATGGAGTCACAGCTAATTTGCATCAGCTCTTCAGATACTCGAAGGTACTGAAGCTAGTCTAGTAACAGTAATTTGGGTTGGTCTGTCTGGAGTAAGCCTTTTGTTGTGGGGGAGCACAGGATGGTTAGTGAGGAATCCTTGATGAAACCAGTCCTCCCAGTCCAATCATGGAGCAGATGCTGCTCCTGAAAAAGGCTTCAATAACAAGCTGCTCCCACCTCTGGCTTAGGCATAACCACAGGACACCAAAGGAAGTGAGGACCACATTCATTCCACACTCTGGCTCCAAACCCCTTCCCTATTCTCCAACCCAAGTTCACTATCTCACAGGCCATGCTTGGTTTGGCTAGTGAAACTTTTTGTTTTGTTTTTTAATGTGGTTTGATGGGGAGAATTCAAAGGAAAAGAAGAAAGCTACCAGAAGAGGAAATGGCAAGTTCCACAATCTTTTCCTTCTATTACTACCCTGGTCCAGACTGTAAAGCAGCTTTGGCTGGCTCTCAAATATCAGGGGTCTCAGAGCACAGGGAGTGATGGCATATACATTCCCAGAGCTTCACACCAGTCAGGGTGACCTCTTACCATAAGCTGATCTGCATTTCTTCTCCCCAATCCCAACCTGCTCTTCCCCTCCTGACTCCCCCTTCTCATCCCCAACAAATCCACACCCCCCAAGGAACAATAATGAGCCCCTCTTATTAGAAGAAAGGAGCAAATGAACTAGACAAACAGCAAGAATGAGTAATTTCAGGGGTTGGTGATAGCAGATACCTAAATGGTCAGAGGACATCATCAGAAATTTGCTTTCTCATGACTCCCCACCATCTGTTACCCATCAACATCCACTTCCAGGCAGGATGCCAAAATGAAGATGCGATAGAGAGATTGAAGGAGATACGGTGAGCATGTAGGAAACTGCTTATGACAGGGATGTGTTAAAGTACTTTCAACATAAAGTTCTGAAAATAGTGGTGAAGGTTGCACAATATTGTGAATGTTAATGCCACTAAATTGTACACTTAAAAATGTTCAAAATGACAATTTTTATGTTATATATACTTTACCACAATAATACTTAAAAAATATACTTTCAGTCTGATCTCTAGGCCAGCCCTTGCCCATGTTCGATTACACAGGTGAAGGCACACAAGACTTAATTCTATACCTGCCTCTCAAAAATCGGCCTGGAATGTAAGCAGAACACTAACTTAGGGACAACAAAGGACAACCTCTATAGAAGTGTCCCTCTCAGATTAAATGATTCTCAGCATCACTCCACAGTCCATGCATCCTGCTCCCAGGGAGCATGTCAGCCAGAAACCTGTCACTGGAGGCCACCTTACCCGCTCTGGGGATGGGCTGGGGCAAGTCGCTACCTCTTCTTCCTCCCAAGCAGGCAATGTGGTATTGTCCAGTCCCTGGGTCCCTGAGTCTTCAGCTGAAATTGGGGCAGATGTTGCTGCCTGGGATAGGAGCTGTGGAAAGGCTGACCTAAGCCTGGAAGAGGGCATTTGACTGGCTTTAGTTAGTTCCCTCCTTAGCAGACCTGCCCAACATCCTCCAGGTCGCTCTTTCTCGCCTTTCCCACTATCCTCCTCGACGGGAAAGACACCTTTCCCCTCCCACCGGCCCGATGCAGTCGGCCTCGGCCCCACGCTGAAGGATTTCCCTCCTGCCAGGCTCCAGGTTCTTTACTCTCGATTAAGAAATTCCCCTGCAATTTGTGACTCTGCTTCTTCAGGACCTACACAACACCTACTGCTGGTTCCCCCAACCCCCAGGCTGCCACAGGATCCCAGGCCCCCTCCCTTCCTTTTTTTTCTGTCCGCCTCCAACCCCTCCACGGTTCCATTCCCTCTTCCCAATCCCGGAGCTTGTCTGTCCTCTGCCCCTACTCCGTGCTAGGGTCTCCACGATCCCCCCAACTCTAGCCGCCCGGCCCGACTACTCCAATCCCACAACAAACTTTCCGCCACCTCCCGCTGCCTTCAGGCCGCCATCTTGCCGTGGGGCAGGCCGGGTAGCGGCCGGGGCCGCCGGAATCCCGACGCTCCGGGCGCTGCGCGTCATCGGGGAGGCGGGGCAATGGTGCGGGGCCTCGGTCTGGGCAACTGGGGCCCGGGGTGCTGAGGAAAGATGGGAGTATTCGAAGAGCTGGGGTCCGAGGCCTGGCAGCGGGAGGAGGGAGATGTCAGGAGTGGGCAATAGCGGAAAGGGGAAAAAGACTCTGGTACTCAGTACGTGTTGGCGCTCAGTAAGTATTTGTTGAGTTAAATTGAACTGAATGAGCATGAGATGGTGAATTAAAAAAAAAAATAGAGGAACAGCACAAAAATAGTGGGAGAGTTGTGGCACTGCCCTGGGTAAAGGCTTCCAAAGGTTCCCCATCACCCAAAAAATAAAATCTGAGATTCTCAGCATGGCGCACGGCGGCCAGCATGACCTAGCCTCTTCCACCTTCACCGACCTCGTTTTCCCCCTCTCCTCGGTAATGCAGGCTCCAAAATTGTCCTTTTTCCAGGGCATCAGGCCTTAAGATGTCCAGCCCTTCTCCTCCCCGTGCATGATTGATCCTACTTCTCCGTCAGCCCACAGCTGAAATGTCACCTCCTCCGAAAAACCTTCCCCAAGCCCCCAGGTGAATTTAGTGCTCCTTTTGCTGGACACCTCTAGCAACTTAATAATACAACTTTATTGTAGCTATCTCGTTGCTGTAATTATTTATTTATATAATGCATCTCTCTCTAGGCTACTTCTTCAGGGCAAAAACGATGTATGATTGCATCTTCATATCCCCTAGCAGGTGCCTGGGGCACAGTGCTCAGCTTACTTAATAAATAGCATGGCATCCTCCAAAACACTAAACATACTTCCGCCTCAGGGCCATTACCTTTGCTGTTCTCTGCATGTGCAATGCTCTTCCTCCAGATGTTCACTGCTATTCATGTCTCTGTTCAAATGTCACTACCTCAGAGAAGTCCTTCCTGCCCTATCTAAAACGGCATCCTCAGTCACGCTCCCATACCCTGCTTTAATGTTTTATTTCATAGCACTTATCATTATCTGACATTTTATTCAATATTTCTTTGTTTCTTGACCATCTCCCCCACTACAATGCAAACTTCAGAAGTCTCGGACTTTTATCTCATTTGTCACCGTATCCCTAGTGTCTGGAACAATGCCCAGCATAGTAGGTGTTCAATAAATGTTTACTGGATGGATAAATGACATGGAGGTGTTAGAGGGATTTTGAAGTATAGTGGTGGTGTTGGGTGAGAATACTGCAAAATAGAGAAATACGCAGATGGAAGTTACAGGCCCCAAGGCCAGACTTGGCCTTATCAGGAATGATAGCAAAAACAAACTCTAGGCCCAGCAAAGGAGGGAATGGAATGAAAGCCAGGTGGAAACTTGGAGCTAGATACTCAGGGAGCAGAGCCCTCCTGGGAAAGCCCTAGGACAGCAAGAAGGCCCAGTAGAGAAACAGGGTGGGCTGGAGGTCGAGGAGTTTACTCAGACCCAAAGACAATATCCACCCGAACCCAGGCCTCTCCTGGCCAGATGGTTCCGGAGAAGCCTCAGCATCTGTCTCTCTATAAATTATCCAGTGCACCCTCTTGCCTCTCCTCTCTGGTGACAGCCGGAAGAATTGTTCAGGAATTCCATCTGCTCCCCTTGTCCCTCTCCCCTCCACAGCTCATCAACATTTCTCAGCTGAGAGGTGTCCCATTTCCCTGGGCTTAGGGATGGGAGCCAGACCAGTCTTGGTGGGTCTGACCTCAGATGTTTACCTCCAACCAACACACACAAATAAAACCTCAACTGTGGTTCCCAGATCCCATTCTACCCATGCTTTTCTATCCCATACATCTTTTATAAAAAATTAATTTAGTAAAATTACAGTAAATGAATTAATCGTATAGGTTCTTGCAGAGCTTATAATGAGGACTCCCTATCATTATACATCTCCACATTGTTTCCCTTAAACTGCCTGTGTTGTTGTTGTTGTTAGATGCTATCCAGTTGGTTCCGATTCAAAGTGACTGACTCTATATACAACAGAATGAAACGCTGCCGAGTCCTGAGCCATCCTCACAATCATTGCTATGTTTGAGCTCATTGTAGCCACTGTGTCCATCTCTTGAGACTCTTCCTCTTTTTTGATGACCCTCTGCTTTACCAAGCATGATGTCCTTCTCCAGGGACTGGTCCTTCCTGATGACATATCCAAAGTACCTGAGATGAAGTCTTGCCATCCTTGCTTCTAAGGAGCATTCTGGCTGTACTTCTCCCAAGATAGATTTGTTTGTTCTTCTGGCAGTCCATAGTATGTTCAATATTCTTGGCCAACACCATAATTCAAAGTTGCTATTTCTTCTTTGATCTTCCTTATTAATTGTCCAGCTTTCACATGCACGAGGCATTGAAAATACCATGGCTTGGGTCGAATGTACCTTAGTCCTCAAAGTGACATCTTTGCTTTTTAACACTTTCAAGAGGTCTTTTGCAGCATATTTGCCCAATGCAATATGTCGTTTGATTTCTTGACTGCTGCTTCCAGGGGTGTTGATTGTGGATCCAAGTAAATTAAATCCTTGACAACTTCAATATTTTCTCTGTTTATTATGATGTTGCTTATTGGTCCAGTTGTGAGGATTTTTGTTTTCTTCATGTTGATTGAGGTATAATCCATACTGAAGGCTGTAGCATATCCATACTGAAGCCTGTAGCATTTGATCATCAGTAAGTGCTTCAAGTCCTCTTTGTTTTCAGCAAGCAAGGTTATATCATCTGCACGTTGCAGATTGTTAATGAGTCTTCCTCCAATCCTGATACCGCGTTCTTCTTCATATAATCCAGCTTCTCGGATTATTTGCTCAGCATACAGATTGAATAAGTATGGTGAAAGGAGACAGCCCTGATGCACACCTTTCCTGATTTGAAACCACGCAATATCCCTTTGTTCTGTTTGAATGACTGCCTCTTGGTCTACATACATGTTCCACATGAGCACAATTACATAAGCACAATTAAGTGTTCTGGAATTCCCATTCTTCCCAATGCTACCCATAATTTGTTATGGTCCACACAGTTGAATGCCTTTTCATAGTCAATAAAACACAGGTAAACATCTATCTGGTATCCTCTGCTTTCAACCAAGATCAATCTGACATCAGCAATGATATCCCTCATTCTACATCCTCTTCTGAATCCACCTTGAATTTCTGGCAGTTCCCTGTCAATGTGTTGCTGCGACGATTTTTGAAGGCCCTTAGCAAAATTTTACTTGTGTGTAATATTAATAATATTGTTTGATAATTTCCACATTCCTTTGGATCACCTTTCTTTGGAATGGGCACAGATATGGATCTCTTCCAGTCAGTTGGGCAAATTTCTTGACATAGATGAGTGGGCGCCTCTACCATTGCATCCATTTGTTGAAACATCTCAGTTGGTATTCCGACAATTCCTAGAGCCTTGTTTTTCGCCAGTGCCTTCAGTGCAGCTGGGACTTCTTCCTTCAGTACCATCAGTTCTTGATCATATGCTGCCTCCTGAAATGATTGGACATCAACCAATTCCTTTTGGTACAGTGACTGTGTATTTCTTCCATCTTCTTTTGATGCTTCCTGTATTGTTCAGTATTTTGCCCATAGAATCCTTCAATATTTCAACTCGAGGTTTGAATTTTTCCTTCAGTTCTTTAAGCTTGAGAAGCACTGAGTGTGTTCTTCCCTTCTGGTTTTCTAACTCCAGCTAGAAGGGCCTTAGTCCATATGTAACCTTTTTAGTTGCAATTGACATTCTACTAATAATTTGAAGCCAGGAGATGGTCTAGATTCTTATCTGTGACCCTGATTAGACATGCTGAATCTTGTTTACATGGTTGTTACAACAATTATTCTAAAACTTCAGGAGGGCGGGTAATAACTTAGTCTACTTCCCTAGATTTAAGTTATACACATCCTCTAATTCTTCTTATCTTATTAAAAGTCCACAGATGTTACCCTGGTAGATAAACATTTATTATATGTAAATTTCTTTCTCCTAATGGGATGTCAAATTTGATGAGATGCTAAGAATGTAATTTTAAAGATCTTGAAACTTGATGGAATCTTGCATTCTTTCATTCTTAATACCATTTAACTCTTAAAAGATAATTAAAATGTACATCCCATATAACTTTATCTGATACCAAGTCTTGCGTCTGGCCTCTCCTAACTCTCTGAGGGCAGAGTTTGTCTCCCCCCAACCCCCCAAGACTTTGGGCTTCCTAAGGAGAGTGTCTCCCCCTCCCCCACACTCCCTGACTGCAATTTTGAGTCATGGGGAAGCTCAGAAAGTGCAGAAGAAACAGCTTACCTCCCTCTTCTGGATTGCACTGGAACTGGCTGGTCAGGCCCTGCTTCACTCTGACCCAGTAGGGTCTGGATAGCAATATAGTCCCCAGTCTCTTTGCTGCATCAGGAGAGCTTCTCTTTATCCTAGGTCAACACCTGGAAGTTGACCTTGAATGTGTATGCTCAGTTGCCCATAGACTGAGCAATCGTCTATATATGAAAGGTCAAGAGAGGAGACCCAGGTTCCAGAAGCTTCAAGTAAGTTTCCATTATGGCTTCTTTAACAGCTGCAGGAGGGGCTGGAGCGTAACCCACCTGTGCTTCTGATGCCTCACCCACACCCCGGCAGCTCTGCAAGGTGCCAGGGTGAGAGGGGCTCCATAATGTTTGAAGATTTGGTACTGATGTGCTTTGCACTTAGAGTTCTGGTTATGGAGTGAACCTCTTGCCCTTCCAGACCTGTGTACATGTATCTGCATACCCTCATGGTTCTAAATGAATGTGTTCCCTGTCTTCACATTCTGGACATTAGCTGTGTGACAGCACATTTGACCCATCAGAGGACAAAGACTCTCCCTCAGCCACTGCTCAACAGACCCCAAGCCCCACAATCAGCATCTACTCTAGCCTAGCTTTCTCTCTTCGCCTGAGCAGAGATTTCAGATATTTCCAGGTACTCCAG